TATACTTATATATATATATATATATATATATATATATATATATATATATATATATACACACGCACACACACACGGCAGTGATTTCATGCAACAATTGTATCATAGTATAATGCAACGTCACTTCTACAAAACCATGTTTGTGGTATTTGTATGATCCAAAATTTTGCACATATACTCTCTTCATCACAATAATCAATAATAAAAAAAAAAGTTTAATTTGAACTTTAGATATGGTCAAAATGCGTTTCCTCCAAAAACAAATCTAGACCATTCATTTGGTGAATTTCAAGATCTTAGCCTTTACAAACTAAAAATCATTTTTTCTTTTTAAACACTGTTCATCTAATGATAATAAAGCCATCCATAAAAATTGGAAATGAAAAAAATCCTTCTAAAGCTTAGATTTAAGCATCTCACCAAAATAAACGGCCTATGTTAATTGGGTTAAAAAAATACTTTTTAGGTTGTATTTTCAAATTTTCTTTTATTTTGTGATTGTTCATTAGAATGACAAGAGTGTATATTTCAAAATTTGGATCAAACAAGTAGCCACATCATGGTTGAAGGTTGTTGCATCATATTACCATACAACTGTTGCATGAAATCATTGCTCATATATATATGGAAGCATCTAGGCAACACCAATAGACGAAAATGAAAAGTGCTTTCGCCGTCCGGAAAATCGTGCGGCGTGCATTTTTTTACTGTCACGGACCTAGCATGTCCGTGGCGGTCAAAAACTCACACGGAACAACGACGTCTATTGCGGATCTGTTTAATAAACCACCATGAATATACAAGTCTGTGGCAGTGGCAAAACACTGTAGCACCTCCCCTATAGGCATTTTTTAGGTTTTTTCATATATATATATAGGAAAAAGCTTGCATGCAACCCTTCGTGTAGAGGTTTGGGGTGCAACCAACAGCTGGCAAAAAAGCCATCTAAATCAATGGTGATCCTCTAATGTGAGCGTTGAAATGGGTTTTAGCTTCCAATGTTCGCAGAAGCCTTCTCTCTCCTCTTTCTCAAGCTCGCTGAGGAAGCCCTCTCTTCTGCTTCTTGGTCGCCATTTCAGCTCGTTGAGGAAGCCCTCTCTCCTTTTTGCTCGCCATTTTAGCTCGCTGAGGAAGCCCTCTCTCCTTTTTGCTCGCCATTTTAGCTCGCTGAGGAAGCCCTCTCTCCTACTTCTTACTCGCCATTTCAACGTGCCACCAAAGCTCGCGAAAGCCCTAAAACTCGCAGAATGGATCTATCCTCTTACTCAAGCTCGAGCTCGCTGAGGAAGATGCCCTGAAACTCACGATTTCACCCTCTCTCTCTAGAAATCCCTACCCTCTCTGTCTCTCCTTGAATCGAAATTTGTACCCTCGATTAAACCCTCTCTCTCTCTATCTTAAATTCATACCCTAATTGAGAGGGCTTTCTCATTGACGAGTAAAAGAAGCCATTTACAATAAAAAAAAAAGATATTTTCTCTCTTCTCGAGCAAAATCCTATTTGCACAGTTCAATTTTTTTTATGAGTTCTCTGTGTGCAGCGAATTTCCGCTTCATATTGTTCTCTGTGTGCACATGTTGCTCTCGAATGTAGTTTTGTTAAATTTGGTTGCACACTGTTTTAACCCATTTAATCAATGTGGTTAAATATTATAAACCATTTTCTTTATGAGTTCTCTATGTGTAGCAAATTTCGGCTTCATATTGTTTTTTGTGTGCACATATTTTGTTAAATTTGGTGGCACATTGTTTTAGCCCATTTAATCAAAGTGGTTAACTATTATAAACCACAGAAATGGTGATAGGTGTTTTCAAAATGGTTTAAAAAAATGAGCTGATAGGTGTTCTCAAAATGTATATCTAAATTACTCTACTATATGATGTATGAGGCACATCCATTATGCTGACAAATTTATTTTTGTTGTTTATGAGGCAAGTGTTGTTTTTCATGAATTTTCTCGATTGAATTGTCTCATAATCATGTATCATAATGTATTATTAGCTATGTTCAAACTGTAGTTATCATTACAATGCTACCCACTCAAGTACCATTTTGTATAAAATTGTCAAATTTATTTTTTTCCAATATGCATTTTGTATAAAACGTAAGAATTCAACATGTTTCACAATAATAGTTATGTAGTCCTTTACACTGTGTTTATGATGCTATTATTATAGGCCCTAACATTGTCATGTCATTCTACAAGTAATTGAGGATATACAACTCGACAATGCCCTAAGTGCACTATAGATTGCGCTACGAAAGTATCGTCAAGCGTAAACAACCCGAACATGATGTACTACAAGTGCCAAATATGTGGGTTCTTCCAATGGTGTGATGAATATGTTTCCACCATGCAAAATATCAATTTAAGGATCACATTACACAACAATGGAATCCAATGGATGAATTTGAAGAAAGAAGTATTGGCAATGACACGATACTCGGTGCCATAGGGCGTTTGCAACATGTCGAACTTGGTGCATTCGGGTGTTTACAACAATTGTTGTATTTTTTGTGTATAATAAATGTGTGTATGCTTGTACTCATCTGAACTTCATCCTATGTGAGTTGATTATCTCGTTCAGATGGGTGATTAGTTGTTGACCTGTATGGAATGGTTTAAAAAAATGAACTGATAAGTGTTCTCAAAACGTATTTCTTAATTACTCTACTATATGAGGCAAGTGTTGTTTTTAATGAAAAATAGCATTGCAATTCGCTGCCTTCGCCATGGCAATTTAGGAGTCATTTTCTTTTAAATTAACTACATCTTGGTTGCTTCCAATATGTTCATAATAGGCTTATTCTACGTTTATGGTAGTTCAAATATATTCCCAACTTCAATTTTTGTAGAGACTGTTACTTGCCCGTAGATGGTAGCCATAGCAGTTATACGAGGAAAGATCACTTGACCCAGCATCTTCTTAAGGATGGAGCCAAATTGTTGGAGTGTCCTGTGGATGACTGTAATTACATATTCAACAATTTAAAACGCCACATAGAAGAACATCACAATGAAGATTCTTCTCAGTCATATAGTAGATAGAATCCTCTGCCATTTCTGATAATGTTTTGAACAAAAACCGAGTTATATTAATAGAATGAAACATGTCCCTACAAATAATATACATTGACTAAACTATGATAAAATCCCTTCAAAATAGAACTGAAATGAAATGTGATTGGTGTCACTTATTAAAAAGTATGTGAAGTGTTGAAGTCATTAATTGACAAATGAAATGTGTTTTTTGTAGGGCAATTCTAGTACATGAGATGGACCTCACCATTTCAGAAAGTGTGGCATCCCCCACATGGTTAAATGATGACAACATGGGGGACACTGTACAACCCATGGAGCAAGATCCGTTGGTTCCCGCCCCCCAATAAGTTCACAAATCCCGAAAACATGGAACATACGTCATAATCCAAAGAGACAGAAATAGAGGAACCTTGCATAGGAATGAAATTCAATTATGAAAATGATGCATTTGAGTTTTACAAAGCCTATGCACTGGTACATGGGTTTGGTGTCAGAAAGTGAACTACTCACAATAATAATGATGGAAAGAGAACTGCTAGAGAATTTATATGTTCCAATGAAGGATTCTATAGGGTGAAAGAAGTGTTACCTACAAACAACATCCCTCATTCAAGGTGTGGATGTGCACCGAAGATATGTGTAGGCATAAATTCCAACAATGAGTGGGTTGTCACAAGGTTTGTTAAGGATCACAATCACGACCTTGTATCTCCAAGGAAAGCCCGATTCATCCAATCGCACCGAACAATATTTGATGCGACAAGACAATGATAGACTCCATGAGCTCTGCTTTGGTAAAGTCTTGAAATATCTACGATATCTCTTTAGAGCAGGCTGGAGGGATTGATAGTATCCCTTGTTCACAAAAAGATATTGAAAACCAATTAGGAGACAAAAATTGAAAGGGAAAGATGGGAACCGTGCGATAGAATGGTTAATCGATATGAAAAGATTGAATCCATCTTTTTACTATAAGGTGTAATTAGATGAAGAAAGTCATATTGTCAGCCTATTATGAGTAGATGTCATGTCAAGGTGTTCTACAACCACTTCTCGGATGTGGTCACTTTTGATACCACGTATAAGACAAACGCTTTTGGTGTATGCCCTTTGCTCCCATGCTTGGAGTGAATCACCACCTTAGCACAACTTTTTTTGGGTTTGCCCTTGTATTTGATGAGAATGTGGAAGCCTTTGTAAGGGTATTTGAAAAATAGCTTGAGGCAATGGGTGGACGTCAACCGGGAGTCATTATCACCGATCAGGATCCTACAATGACCGCTGTAGTGAGACAAGGTTTGAATAAAAGCAGACATCATTATTGTAAGTGGTACATACTTTCAAAGATCAAAGAAAAAATGTGTCATGTCTTGCAAAGGAGTGCATCTTTTCCAGATCACTTTAGGAACTGTATAACTAGCGAAACTAAGGAAGAATTTGAGTCATAATGAAAATCTTTAACTGAGAAATATGATATTCAACAGAATGAATGGCTCAATAAATTGTACAAATGTCGAGAGCAGTGGATTGATACATATGTTGCAGATGCATTCACAGTTGGTATGTCATCGACTCAAAGAAGTGAATAAATGAATAAGCACTTCAAAAATTATGTGACTTCCAATACAAGCTTATGCACATTGTTGGAAACTACTCTAAAAGTGCATGATAAAAATGTTCTTAAGATGAGAGAAAATGACTTGAAGAACATCATATATAAGCCTTTTCTGAGGACCACTTGTGACATCGAGGCTCACAGTTCGAAGATATATACCCACAAAGTTATGAAGTTGTTTGGGGAAGAAGTTGCAGAAGACGTCAATTACATGAGTGAAATTATTGAAGAGAAAGGCACAGTTACAACCTTCAAGGTATCAAAACGTAGATTTGAAATAAGGTCTTGCACTGTTGTGTTTAATAATCACGACCAAACTTTTTCTTGTACTTGACTAGGCATTATTTGTAGGCATGAGATTAGGGTGTTCATGGTGAAAAATATTTTTGAAATCCCATTGCATTACATATTGAACAGGTGGACGAAAAATGTGATGCAAGGTGTTCTACTAGATGCGAATGGGAAACAAATTCAATATACTTTTGATCTACCCCGTTCCATTCATTTTAATAAGGTTTGTCAAGCCACTAGAGTACTAGCAGAGCGTGCTTTAGAAAGTGCAGAGGTTCATGCATTTATAATGTTTGAGAGAGCAAGTACAGTTACAAAGGTTGAGGCCAAGTTTGGAGGTTTGACTATATCACCTGAGATTATGAATGACAGCAGTAACAACCACGCTGAGGTTGAGGGACATGCAGACCATATCGTCCTTGAGCCCCCTCGAGCACGAATAAAGGGGAGACCTATGAATGTTATATATGTACCTCTGGCTGAGAGAGAGGCAGAGAAAGCGAAAGCAAAAGCTAAAGAGAAGGAAGTTACCCGAAAGTACGCAGTTTGCAAAGGGAGTGGACATGACAGAAGGAATTATCCAGCTGTAGCACATTTAAAGTATGAATGAACTATTGCTCTATCTTTCGTACTTTTTGTGATGGTAATATGAATTTATTAATTCTACATTTTTGAAATGAGTTTTTTTTCATGTAGGTTAAATATCAATATAAGATGCACGGATGGGTCAAGTGAGAATGTGGAACATGATGAGTAATGGTAAGGTATTTTAATCCTTTACATTGTAATTAGTAAACAAGTATTTGTTGCATTGAATTTGCATTGTACGAAATTTTATTGCATTCAAATTTTCATGCTTATGTGTTTGAGATATTGTTGCAATTACATATTGTTTATGTGTTTTTTATATTGTGTTTATTTCATTCAAATTTTCATGCTCATGCTTTATGTGTTTGAGATATTGTTTGAAATTTTCATGCTTATGTGTATCAGTATCTAACAAGTCATAATTGAGGTCAATTGTATCCCACCTATTAGGTTATTGTTAATAAAGGCCTTAATCTACTTCTAGTTTCAAATCTCATAGCACAATGAATAGCAACTTAAAATGCTCTTGTGCATAAGCACTTTCAAACATCTCTTGAATTCTTTATTTTACTTAGAGCTTACTAGTATGGTCCTTTATTACAACACATTAGAGTTTCCTGTATCTGAATTTTATATTCTTTTGCTTATGTTCTATCCTTCTTATGCAATTTTATGCAATTCTTTGATTAATTGATGTTTTTTTTAGAATTTGTTGTTTCCTTTGATTGGTGAATGAGGTATGCTTATATTCTCCTTTAACTGGTTTGGACAATGTCCCCATGTGATAAGCATTGTAGAATGGACGGCATTGTGATAAGCATTGTAGAATGGATGGCGTTGTGCACTCATGTGCAAGTAGAAGTGAAGAATGAAAAGCCATTTCAGAACTGAAGGGTACATGGGCTAGTTCAAGGTCAAAGGAAAAAGAATAAACAGTGAACATAATGTAATTGTAGTTTTCAGAGTGCTGAAAAATTGTACCCTTTAACTAGTATTTGTTTGATAATTATTGCTCAGTAGATGATATGTATCTTTAAATAGGTCGGGACTTTAAGATTTTTGGATATAACAAAGCTTATTAATGTTTATCTTAATGCTATTTTTGTAACAGGTTCACTTCTTGTTATCTTAATGCTATTGTTGTTTAGGGTTCTTTTGATTTTTAGGTAAACATCCCCTTAGTTCAATATCAAGCATTAGAATTTGGCTTCGGCATTGATATTGTGAAAATAGGAGAACCTAAATTGTTGGGAAATTGGACTATGTTATGGTTAGCCATTGAAAAAAAAGAATCGATATTCAGAATATGGGTCACCAAGATCTCCAAAATTTGGTGTATAATTTTGCCAAAATTGATTTCTTGAAAATTTGGCATGGTTGTTTTTTAAAATTGTAAAGAATTTTATATATTCGCAAGTGAAATTGTGTGCCTGGTTCTCTGGAGAGTGAAATTGCAGGATGATGTAATGATTTACTAATGATGCATTTATCACAACAGCATCTCATATTTGTACGCCTGGTTCTCTGGATAGTGATAGATTCACTGATGTCCTACAAGGTTGAAGTTTCAGTCTTCCTAACAAGACCCGAACATATACATCAATAGTGCACGATAGGAAATGAAATTATGTAAGATTAAATATATAGCAATCTTAAAAATGAAAATAATAGAAACAACCATTGCGCTATTCTCTTGTGGTCCTTCAGTTTCAGATGGAAGGATGAGAATAAGAAGCTCAAGTACAGAACCATGTTCACCATCCATATAGATGGATGTCTTCAACTTCTGGCCTTTCCAAGATAAAAAAATTAGCAACAACCATTGCGCTATTCAATGCATAACTAGCCGGAATCACAGATGCTATTGCACAATAGCGATTGTGCTTTAATGCTTCTTATGCTTAAAATCTCAAAAAAATATATAAATTTTAGATGAAAGAAAGTAGAGAGATATAGAGGGAGATAGTAGAATTCCACAACTACAAGTTGAACTATAATATGTAACCGAGTTCAATTCCACAACGGGAATAATTATATTAATAAAAAGGAAACCCAAAATATTGTCACATGTTTCGAATAAGTACTACAAAAACAAAAAAGATGAGTACAAACATACACACATTTATTATACATAAAAAATACAACAATTGTTGTAAACCCCCAAAGGCACCGGGTATCGTGTCATTGTCAATACTTCTTTCTTCAGATTCATTCATTGGATTCCTTTGTTGTGCAATGTGATGCCTTAAATTGACATTTTGCATGGTGGAAACATATTCATCACACTATTGGAAGAACCCACATATTTGGCACTTGTAGTACATCTTGTTCGAGTTGTCTGTACTTGACGATAGTTTCGTAGCACAATCTATAATGCACTTAGGGCATTGTCGAGTTGTATATCCTTGATTACTTGTAGAATGAGATGACATTGTTGGGGCCTACAATAATGGCATCATAAACACAGTGTGAAAGACTGCATAACTATCATTGTGAAACATGTTGAATTCTTGTGTTTTATACAAAATGCTTAGTGGAAAAAAAATAAATTTGACAATTTAATACATAATGGTACTTGAGTGGGTAGCATTGTAATGATAACTAAAGTTTGAACATAGCTAAGAATATATTATGAGATATGATTATGAGACAATTCAATCGAGTGAATTCATTAAAAACAACACTTGCCCCATAAACAACAAAAATAAATTTATCTGTATAATGGATGTGCCTCACACATCATATAGTAGAGTAATTTAGATATACATTTTGAGAACACCTATCAGCTAATTTTTAAACCATTTTGAGAACATCTATCACTATTTATGTGGTTTATAATAGTTGAGCACATTGATTAAATGAGCTAAAACAGTGTGCCACTAAATTTAACAAAATATGTGCACACAGAGAACAATATGAAGCCGAAATTCACTGCACAAAGAGAACTTATAAAGAAAATGGTTATAATATTTAACCACATTGATTAAATGGGCTAAAACAGTGTGCAACCAAATTTAACAAAACTACATTTGAGAGCAGTGCTCATAGAGAACAATATAAAGCCGAAATTCGCTGCACACAGAGAACTCATAAAAAAAAAATCGAACTTTGTAAATGGGGATTTTGCTCGAGAAGAGAGAAATTACCTTTTTCTTCAATTGTAGATGGTTTCCTTTACCTGTCAATGAGAAATCTCAATTAGGGTATGAATTTCAGATTGAGAGAGAGTTTCAGCGAGCTAGAGAGAGAGAGGGTTTAATCAAGGGTACAGATTTCGTTCAGGGAGAGAGACAGAGAGGGTAGGGATTTCAATTCAAGGAGAGAGATAGAGAGGGTAGGGATTTCTAGAGAGAGAGAGGGTGAAATCGTGAGTTTCATGGCATCTTTCTCAGTGAGCTCGAGCTTGAGTAAGAGAAGATATCTATTCTGCAAGTTTTGGGGCTTCTGCGAGCTTTGGTGGCACACTGAAATGACGAGCAAGAAGCAGGAGAGAGGGCTTCCTTAGCGAGCTGAAATGGCGAGCAAGAAGCAGGAGAGAGGGCTTCCTCTACAAGCTGAAATGGAGAGCAACAAGCAGAAAAGAGGGCTTCCGGCTTCCTCGGCAAGCTTGACAAAGATGAGAGAGAGGGCTTCTGCGAACATTGGAAGCTAAAACCCATTTCAACACTCAAATAAGGGGATCACCGTTGATTTAGATGGCTTTTTTGCCAGCAGTTAGTCGCACCCCAAACCTATACGTGAATGGTCGCATGCAAGCTTTTTCCATATATATATATATATATATATATATATATAGTAATGA